GCTCCAGTCCCCTCACCATCCTCATAGCCCTCCACTGGACTCTCTCCAGTAGCTCCTCATCTTTCTTGAACTGGGGAGCCCAGAACTGGACACAGTACTGCAGATGGGGCCTCATCGAGCATGTGCTGCTCGTGTAACGGAGCCTGTCCTGGTGCCAGCGCCTGTGTTTCCTCCCCAGATGCAGAGCCCACGTGAGCCCCGACCAGGAGGAGTCCATCCGAGAGACCCAGAGCCTCATAAAAGAGAGGCAGAACGTTTTCTTTGAGATGGAGGCCTATCTGCCGAAGAAGAATGGGTACGGGGCGCCTCGTCTCCGGGTGAAACGTGGGGTGCTCCTGCCTGCCCGTGGCCTTCACCCACCCTCGGACGGCGGCCGCGCGCAGGGGAGCCCCGGTGCCCGCGGGAGCTGGGCTGTGTGCCCGGCCGCCTGTCGCCTGGCAGTGCTGCCAGCTCCCGGGCGGGCGCCCGTCCTGACACCTCTGCTCTCTCCCCAGGTTGTATCTGAGTCTGGTGCTCGGGAATGTGAACGTCACGCTGCTCAGCAAGCAGGCCAAGTACGGCCCCCTCGTCGCTGCCACTCCCTCGTCGCTGCCACCCTGTGCTTTGCCTGGCCTGGGACCCCTTGGCACCAGGAAACACCAACTCCTCCCGAGCTGAGCTGCCCCACGTGCAGACACGTGGCTGGCTTGACCTACCCAGTGCAGATTCCGTTCCCAGGCCGTCCCCTGCTTCCCTCCCCAGAATCAGCCGAGTCCTCGACTCCCCCTTAGGCTCCTGCCACCGGCTGGGACTGACCGTTAGCTCTGAGAAGCTAAACAGGATCCTCTACCAAAGCTGTGTCCAGGTTTCCCCCACGGTGGGGACTTCCAGGAGAGACAAGCTCATGCAGCTGCTGGCGAGCCTCCTCCTCTTCTCTTGGGAAACACCGATGGCCAGTTTTGGCACGTGGGAGCCCCTCACACGCTGGGACACTGATGCAGAGGTGTCCCCTCTTACGTCCCCAGGCCTCACTGTGAAGGGCTGAGCAGACACCAGCCTGCCCAGCTTCCCTGGGGGCCTTCGCCAGGCTGGTGTGGGTGGGGGGCACCTAAGCTGTCTCACCTGTGTCTCCTCTCAGAAATACCCAGGGGACAAGGTTTTTTCCTGAGCATGTCCCACAGGTTCCCAACAGAGTGTCCTTTTGTCCAGCCAGGTGGGGTGGGAGGGTAGAGCCTTCCAGCAGCCACCTTGCTCCAAGCCGGCCCTTGTGCTTCCCTGCAGGTTCGCGTATAAAGATGAGTACGAGAAGTTCAAGCTCTACCTCACCATCATCTTACTGATCGTGTCCTTCTCCTGTCGGTTCCTCCTCAACTCCAGGTGAGCCTGGCTTGAATGCTGGGCAGAGACCTCCTACCAGGGCCCCTTTGTCCTCCTCGCTCCTCCCGAGAGGCCCAGAGCTGAACAGGAGATCCTGACCAAGGATCTGGCCGCTGCCCTGGAGGTGCGGTGGCTTTCGTGGCTGCTGCCATCTGGCTGAGGCCACGGTGGATGGTGAAGAAGCAGGTCTCCCTGCCCGCAGGGCGGGTGGGCGTCCCGCAGCGATGGCTCTCTCGGTGCCTGTCCCCCCAACACATGAGCAGCGGCTCTGCTGCTGCCCTGACACCCGGCTTTGTCTCCCACCAGGGTGACAGACGCTGTCTTCAACTTCCTTCTGGTGTGGTACTACTGCACCCTCACCATCCGGGAGAGCATCTTGATCAACAACGGATCCAAGTGAGTCCGTGGGCTCGGGGAGGCCGACCTGTAGCCATTTGGTCCTCCTCTGCCAGGCTGGGGAGCTGGGATGCATTGCGTAGCTCCGTGCTTCCAAAGCGAGCAGCTCCCTCCTACTCAGGGTGTGTAGCAAACCCCGGTGATGAGTTGTACGGGGCAGGAGGAGCTGCCCGTGCAGAGGCGGTGTGGGAGGGTTGGAAGGGCCCCTGGGTGCTGCCTGGACCGGAGGCGCTGGGTCCTGCTCCGCACAGGGCCGTTTCGTAACCAGCCCCACTCCTCGCCTTGCGCTGGGCTGGCTCGGCTCCGCTGGTGCGCGTTTGGGCCTTGATTCGTGCTCGGGACCTGATGCCCCCTTCTCTGTGTCTGCCTTCCAGAATCAAAGGCTGGTGGGTTTTCCATCACTACGTCTCCACCTTCCTCTCGGGTGTCATGCTGACGTGGTAAGTCTGGGTCCCTTTGTCTCTTTGTCGGAGCTGTGGCCAGCTCAAAGGGGCCTTTGCTGCCCTAACCTGCGGCCGTGTTCCAGCTCTGTGGACGTTGGGGTCTAACTGTCAGCTCCACACGTTCCTCACCAGGCCCAAGCGCCCTAAACGAAAGCAGCCGTCGGCACCTCGGTGCGGCAGGCGGCGCAGACAGGGTCCCTGGGCTGGCAGACGCGATCCCTGCCCGGCAATTCTTGCGGAAGGGCTCTCAGCCCCCGGTTTTGGTGGGGGCCGGGGCGAGGCGGGGTGTCATTACCCTGGCCCGGGGGGCAGGCAGGGCCGGCTGGGGCTCCCCGCAGG